GAGCATCGATGCATTTAGCCGAGTGCCATAGTGAGACCAAAGCTGGGCGTTTGGCGGCCGGAAGTGAGTTCAGCAACTCAGAGGGCAAAGAAGATTGCGTTCCAGATAATCTAGAAGTTAAACTACACATACCGATACCATTGGTGGCCAGTGACACTGAAGTGGCTGTGGAGACAGCAGATCCAGTCTGAACAGCATTAAATGTCCCAGAAGCTGCATTGTCCCCACCAACTCCACTAATGTATGACCTTATAGGGTTTTTAATGTCCAAAGCTGCTACCGCTGAAGAAGAGATAGCAGGAGGTAAATCCGATACTGTTTGATGTTCAACACCAAGCAGCTGGGTAGCCCGAGGAGAAGTTGTTAAACTACAAGTAGTGGCATCAAAACGATCGGAGTAAGCAAGATGGGCAGGTGATGTGCGTGTAGAGACGATAGTCCGATTGAAAGAATCTAGCACAGAGGAGACACCACTGCGACGTGATCGGTAGCGACTGAGACCCTCTACGAGATCGTAAGTAGCCCGGGACTAAAATATGTGTGAGATAAGATGGTAGATAGATAGGCCTCATTTTGAATGTCAATGGTTTAACAACATTAAAACTACCAGTATTAGATGCGTTTATGGAGAAAACAGCAGTTTGGGGATAATACAAAAGACACGCACAGTAGAAGTAAAAAGAGTAAGCGTCTCTAGATATAGACATAATGTTGAAACCATTTGTGAGCAAAGATAAGTAAACATATCAACAAAAATTCCTTCTTGATATATTGTGACAAGACTAGATTCTGAAAAAAAAGTTGGTTGGAAGGAATTCGTGAAATGATTTCACCGAAAACTGAAGGATATACACAGAATGAAGACTGTTGGATTATGCAAAGAAGTCATCGGCTCATCTTTCATCGACACCGATGAGCCTGAGCTAAACATTCGTCTAAGGAATACCACCATACTTTCCTATCTCCAAAGGGAAGGTGATATTACCGCCAACTATATTAATTTACAGAAGCTGTTTGACCTTGTTTTCTCAACTTGGTCATATTGGTAGGAATACTTAGAGAAACGCATTTCCAGTTGGATCTTGGATGTGGTACATTCCCAAACGTTTCACTGGCCTCGTAGTCGGCATCGTCAGAAGGTCTTGCCATTCTTAGCAGCATACTAAAACTCGTCAAAAGAGACAAGTGAAGCCGATGCTTTAACCAAATGTGTGCTAAACAGTTGTGGTATCTCGTTCTTTGTCTTGGACTATTCACCTTTCCTATATCCTCGTATCACGCCTTCACAATCACAATTTTTCCTTGCTTAATAAATGTAGTCGTGTGCCGTTTTGTGCGGCTTTCATGAGAACCCTCC